GAGGATCGAACCCGGGCCGCACGCATGCCAGGCGAGCATGGTACCGCTTGAGCCACATCCCCAGCCCCAAACTAGAACTTCTTTAAAATATTTTTTTAATATTTAATTTTTAGTTTTAGGCAGATACAATATCTTTAGTCTACATTTATGTGGTGCTGAGGAACGAACCCAGTGCCTCTGCATGCTAGGTGAGCACTCTACCACTGAGCCATGACCCCAGCCCCAAACTAGAATTTTTTTCAAAATAAGCATAAGGAATATGAACTTATAAAACAATTAGACCTATATTAGTTGGCCAGGCAGGATTTTTGCAGGAAAATCACAAGTTTGAGGCCGACAGGAGCAATTTATTAGGATCCCCCTCTCAACAATAAAATTTTAAAAAGGGCTGGGGATATCAGTGGTAAAGTGCCCCTGGTTCAATCCCCAGTACCCACCCCCAAATTCCATTTTTTTGGTAAAAGACTCAATGATGTCTCCCCCTCCCATGTATGTGTGTGTGTTATTTTTATGTGGGAGAGTTGGGAAGAGGTAAGAAAGAAAGGTAAGAGAAAGAACCTGGAAGGGAATGAGGTATAATGCAAGTGGGAAAAAGAAGGGGAAAGAAAAGAAAAGTGTTAGTTCTCAATCTCAGACAATGCATCAGCTAATTTTTGGAAAAAATAAAATCTATATGTATGTGTAAACAAACTGTTATATATGTATGTGTGTATGCATATATTTTATAGTGGTGTACATATAGTTGGGTCCCATAAGAGGATAGAATGGATGGGAGAGTCTGCCTTTACCATATCTTTACATTTTATTGTTTCACTTACTAGAACAATATAGCATTTGTTGAAAACCATCAAATTTTAAAGTTATGTAAAACAATATAATCTAATTTTGTTTATATCCTGGTCTTTCCAAATTGCTTGGAAGCACCATATGCCTGTAGCTGTCCTCCTGACATCTGACATGCCAACTGCAGCAAGGAGTAAAAAGTTTCCAGTTAACTCATTTTTATAATACAAGCTTTTATTCCTGGCATTTGGAGTTCTCTGCCTTGGTTTTCCTGTCACTTCCCAACCTTGGTTTTTTTTTTTTGCTGGATCCCCTGCACCAGTATTGTGAATTGAACCCCCCAGGGCCTTTAAGATATTAGGTAAGAACTCTACCACTGAGCTACCTTCCCAGCCCTTTTTAAAAATTTGAAATTGGATCTCATTAAATTGTCCAGGCTGGCCTTGAACTTGTGATTCTCTTGCCCTCTAGTTGATAATCTCTAGCTGGGATTATACTCCTGTGCCACCCTGTCTAGCAAAAGAGAAAAGGGGACTGGCCAGTGTGGTGGCATACACCTATGTGGTGGCATATAGTTTTCCCCCTGGTTTTCATTTAAGCAGTAATCATTTCTAGTGCCTGCAAGCTGTACCATTATGTTTCTAGACCAACACTATCCAATAGAAATATAATGCAAACATCCTGGTGTGGTGGTGCATGCCTGTAATTCCTAGCAACTGGGGAGGCAGAGGTGGGAGGATCAAAAGTTTGAGGTTAGTCTTGGCAACTTAAGGAGACTGAGTTTCAAATAAAAAGGGTATGGGGGTTGGGGGTATAGCTCAGTGGTAGGGTGTCCCTGACTCTATCCCAGGTATTGAAAAAAAAAAAAATATATATATATATATATATTGCAAGCCACAGAAGTAATTTTGCCAGCCAACTCAAAAAAGTAAAAAAGGCAAAATTAATTTTGCTTTTATTTAACCCAAAATATCTAAAATAATTTCAACATGTAATTAATATTTTAAAATAAGATTTTACATTATTGGGGCTGGGGTTGTGGCTCAGCGGTAGAGCACTTGCCTACATGTGTGAGGCACTGAGTTCAATCCTCAGCACCACATATAAATAAATAAAATAAAGGTCCATCAACAACTAAAAAATATTTAAAAAGAAAAAGATTTTACATTCTTCTTTTTTCCTGCAAAGTTTGAAATCCAGTGTACATTTTAAACTTGTGTACATCCCAGTGTTGGACTAGACATTTGAAGAACTCAGTGTCATATGGCCAGGGCTCAAGGTATGAGATAATAGTTGTAGTGGAGCCCATCCCCTGAGGCTTGTAGATTAGTTTTTCCTCTTTGTATTGCTGCTTTTCCCAGTTCAGTAAGACTTCCAGAGTCCTGGGTTGGAGGATATAGCTCAGTGGTAGAGTGCTTGCCCAGTAGGTTGGAGGCTCTGGATTCCATCCCCAGCAGTACACCGACACACAAATTGTCAGAGTGTTTTAAAAAGGGGGGGGGTTCATTGGCATTAAAAACAAACACACAGACCATTGGTACAGAATAGAAGACACAGACTCACACAGATGCAGTTAACTGATCCTTGGCAAAGGTGCCAAAATACACATTGGAGAAAAGACATTATTTTAAACAAATGGTGCTGGGAAAACTGGATATCCATATGTAGAAGGATGAGATTAGATCTTTATGTCTTGCCCGGAACAAAAATCAACTCAAAATGGATCAAAGACCTAGGAATGACCAGAAACTATGCAACTCCTGGAAAAAAAATGCAGGATCAAACTCCAGCATATAGGCACAGAAAATATCTTTCCCAATAAAACCCCTAAAGCTCAGGAAATAATACCAAGAGTTAATAAAATGGGAGGGCATCAAATTAAAAAGCTTCTGCACAGCAAAGGAAACAAGAATGTGGAGAAAGAATGGGAGAAAAGCTTTGCTAGCTACTCTTCTGACAGAGGATTAGAGTCTGGGATATACAAAGAACTTAAAAAACTCAACATCAAAATAAATAAATAGCCTAATGAATAAATGGGCAGATGAATTAAACAGACATTTCTCAAAAGAATAACTATAAATCTATGTATTGCCCAGGCTCGCCTCCAATATATGAAAAAAAATGTTCAACATCATTAGCAATTGGGGAAATTCAAATCATCACCATAGAGAAATTTTCTCTCACTCCATTCAGAATGGTAGCTGTTTTAGTCAAGTTTTAATTTTATTTATTTATTTATTTGCCAACCCAAAAAAAAAAAAAAAAAAAAACCTGACAAGAACAATTAGAGGATAGAGGGAGGAGAGACAGAGGGAAAGGAGGGGAAGGAGGTGGGAGGAGAGAGAAAGAAAAAGAGGGAGGTCTGTACTCCCTAAAACATAAAACCCAAAGGCATGCCCCAAGGACCCACTTTCTTCAGCCATATCCTACCTGCTCCCAGTTATCACTCAATTAATCCCTATCGAGGATTAATTCACTGATTGGGTTAAGGCTCTCATAATCCAATAATTTCATCTCTAAACTTTTTAAGAGAGAGGGAGAGAGAGAATTTATTTTTTAGTTCTCGGCGGACACAACATCTTTGTTGGTATGTGGTGCTGAGGATCGAACCCGGGTTGCAAGCATGCGAGCGCGCTACCGCTTGAGCCACATCCCCAGCCCTTCACCTCTAAACTTTGCATTGTCTCACACTGGAGCTTTTGGGAGACACCACATATCTAACAATAAAAGTAGCCATCAAGAATACAAACAATAATAAAAGCAATAATAAATACTAGAGAGGATGTGAAGAAAAAGGAACACTTTTACACTATTGGTGGGATTTTAAGTTAGTACAACAATGGAAATTGGTATGGAGATTCCTCAAAAGACTAGGAATGGAACCACCAAATGACCCAACTATACCTCTCTTTGGTATTTATCCTGAAGAATTAGTCATCCTACTATAGTGATACATGCATACTCATGTCTATAGCAGCACAATTCACAATCTCCAAAGTATGGAACCAGTCTAGCTTTCCATCAACAGATGAATGGATAAAGAAGTGGTATAAATACATAAGGGAGGGCTGGGGTTGTGGCTAAGTGATGGAGCACTTGCCTGGCATGTGTGAGGCATTGGGTTTGATTCTCAGCACCACATATAAATAAATAAAATAAAGGTCCATTTACAACTAAAAAATTTTTATTTATTTATTTATTTTAAAGAAAGAGCGAGGAGAGAGAGAATTTTTTTTTTAATATTTATTTTTTAGTTTTTGACGGACACATCTTTGTATGTGGTGCTGAGGATCGAATCCCGGCCGCATGCATGCCAGGTGAGCGCGCTACCGCTGGAGCCACATCCCCAGCCCCTACAACTAAAAAAATTTAAATAAAAATAAATACACAATGGAGTTTTATTCAGTCATAAAGAAAAATGAAATTATGTCATTTGAGGAAAATACCTCAAATGCAAAAGGTCAAGCGCTACATGTTCTCTCTTGTTTGTGGAAACTAGAGAGTAAAAAGGAAAAGAAAGAGGGGGATGACCTCATGAAAATGAAAGAGATTAGTAGAGTAGAAGAATGGGGGTGGGTAGAATTGAGGAAAAGGGAGGAATTGGGGAGGAATTGAGGAAAAGGGAAGAATATTGGCCAAATTATATTATTATATTGTGTGTATGTATGAATGTGTAACAAATCCAACTACTATATACAACTATAATGCACCAATAAAAATGTTCAAAAATATTCAAAAGTTAAAAAGGTTCAAAGAAACAGTATCATCAAGGATTAACTTGAATACTTACTTTTCAGGCATAGTGGAGCTGTCTATAGTCTGGGCTATTTGGAAGCTGAGGGAAGAGGATCACTTGAATTCAGTTTGAGGCGATCTTGGGCAATGTAGTAAAACTCTGTCTCAAAACAAACAAGATGAATGCCATCCTCAATGGGCAGATTTACCATAAAGAGGGATTCCAGAGACAGTAATAGAATAGAGTAGTTGGAAGTGTGGATTGGAAAACTGGCCTTGCTATTAACTGTGGAACACTGGACAAATTACATTCTCTGACTGATTTCCTTCATCTATAAAATGAGGATATTTGTGTGTGTGTGTGTGTATACCAGGGATTGGCCACATCCCCAGACCTTTTTTTTTTTTTTTTTTGGAGAAGTTTATTCCTAATTAAATTATTTTGTGGCACTGCAATTGCAGATATCTCTTTCATTCTTTTTTTTCATTTTTTAAATGTTAATTTGTTACATATGACAACAGAATGCATTACAATTCACGTTACACATATAATTTTTCATTTCTGGTTGTACACAAAGAAGAGTCACACTATTCGTGTCTTCATACATGTACTTAGCAAAATGATGTCCATTTCATTCCCCCATCTTTCCTACCTCCATGCCCCCTCCCTTCCCTTTTACTCTTTGCCCTATCTAGAGTTCATCTAATCCTCATGTGTCCCACCCACCACCACATTATGAATCAGCAGCCTTAAATCAGAGAAAACATTTGGCATTTGTTTTTTGGGGATTGGCTAACTTCACTTAGCATTATATTCTCCAAATCCATCCATTTACCTGCCATGATTTTATTCTCTTTTATTGCTGAATAATATTCCATCGCGGGCGTGTGTGTGTGTGTGTGTGTGTGTGTGTATAATATTTTCTTTATCCATTCCTCTATTGAAGGGCATCTAGGCTGGTTCCACAGTTTAGCTATTGTGAATTGTGCTGCTATAAACATTGATGTGGCTGTGTTCCTGTAGTATACTGTTTTCAAATCTCTCACCAAAAAACAAACAAACAAAAAACCCTTGGGAATCAACTTAAAAAGAGGTGAAAGACCTCTACAACAAAAACTACAGAATGCTAAAGAAAGAAGACCTTAGAAGATAGAAAGATCTCCCTGTTCTTGGATAGGCAGAATTAATATTGTCAAAATGGCCATACTACCAAAAGCACTACACAGACTTAAAGCAATCCCAACCAAAATCCCAATGACATCCCCAGTCCTTTTTATTTTTCATTTAGGCCTTTTCAACTTTCCCTTTTAGCCCGGTATGGCGCAGTAATCACTGTAATCCCAGTGAGGCGGGAGAATCGCAAGAGCAATTTAGTGAAGCCCTAAGCAATTTGATGAGATCCTATCTCAAAATAAAAACATAAAAAGGGCTGCGGATGTGGCTCAGTGGTTAAATGTACCTAGGTTCAATCCCTGGTACCAAAACAAACAAACAATAAAACATAATCAATTTTCACTTCCAGGGTCCCAGGCCCGCTCAGTCAGAAGAGGCTGAAAGTAACCAAGAGGTCACGAAGGAAACACCAGGAGAGACTTGTTAAGGCCTGGGTATACAGACAACTTTTCAATTAGGGTATGAGGGCGCTCCGCTGAAAGCAGCACTGTCGGACTTCTAGACCCTCCAGCTACCTGGGGTGTCTCCCACAACTTGAGGATACCAAGACTCCAGGACCCATCGTGGATCTGATGTGGGTCCTCCCTGCTGCCGGCTTCTGCGGCCGAGAGTACGTCAGAAATCAACTGCAGGGCGGAAGGAGGGGCGTGGCCAACGATGGCTCCGCCCACCGGGCTCAAGCCCAGAGCTGTCCTGTATCCTGACGCACTGCGGCTCCGCAGCCAATCCCGAAGCACCAAGCAGGTTCAAATAAAGACGGCGGGTGAATATGGCGGACTCGACTTGGTCTGGGAGGTGATCAACCTGCTTTCAGTTTTGAAGATGTGGCGGGTGAAAAAGTTAAACATCAGCCTGTCGCCTTCGCCCCAGCCGGTGAGCGGGAGAGCTCTCACAGAGAAAGAACTGTGTGCGGAATACTGGGGCGGGGGCGCTGGCGGTGCTGAGGGTCCTGGAAAGCTGGATGGAGCTGGGGCTGGGGAGTGATTGGAGTCTTTGTCGCTTTGCCTCTTCAGCGAGACTGGGATTGGAAATCCGCTCTTCTTAGTACCTCAAAGCTTCTTGGGGAGGGAGAAAGAGCGGGCTGGCGGAGCCCAATCTTAACCCAAATTCTCTTTCTTTCTTAGGGAAAACCAGCTATGAGAACTCCTCTCCGAGAACTTATCCTGCAGCCTGGTGCTCTTACCAGTTCAGGAAAAGGGCCCCCTGTGTGCTCCTCGCTGACCCCATCACTGTGCAAGCTGGGGCTGCAGGTGAGGTTCGCCTGGACAGCTTCTCGACTGGGCTGCTTGCCCAGGCCCAGAGCTCAGAGGAACAGAGGGCCAGGACTGGAACATAATTAATAACGATAATGAAGTCTTCCACCTCAGTGATTTCCATTTACAGCTATTCAGGCCGACAGAGAGGTGCCCTAGGGTGGTTAAAGGAAATCCATTGAGAACTCGAACCTCTGTTTAGCTGTTTTTATTATCTCCTCCCCCCACCCTCGACCTTTCTCAAACTACTGAAAAATACTATCACTCTGATTAGTGGTGGTCTCTAACTTGGGCTCCCTTATGGAGAGGCCTGTCTGATGCAAGAGTTAAGCAGTCAGTATCCATTCACTTTAGCAGGTAGTTACAACTCCCCTGGTATCAAGTTATACCACTGGAAGGCTGGATATTTGCTCACCTTAAACTATTCCCTTGCAGAATTGCCCTGAGTTGTACTTTTGTAAAAGGTCTTTAGAAAAGTAGCCATATGCAAACTGCTTTTCTTTTTTTTTTTTAGAGAATTTTTAATATCTATTTTTTAGTTTTCGGCAGACACAACATCTTTGTTTGTATGTGGTGCTGAGGATCGAACCCGGGCTGCACGCATGCCAGGCGAGCGCGCTACCCCTTGAGCCACATCCCCAGCCCCTTGAGCCACATCCCCAGCCCCAAACTGCTTTTCAGTTGCTGTAATAATTTGTCAATGAAAGAGACTGACCCTTCCATAAGGTTCCTGCAAGAAACTTTTTAGAATTTACTGCCTAGAAAAATTGTCTTCCTAAAGAAATTGCTATCCTTTTCTCTTTCTGATAATGAAAACTATTATGTTTATCATATTTTCCATCTAGCTCTGGTTTCTAAAAAGCTCAAAGTCAAAATTGTTAATCAGTTACGGCTACTGTTACTCCTGAAATATAAAAATTTGCTCCCCCGCACTAGGAATTGAACCCAGAGGCTGTTTTCTAGTAAGCTTCATCCCTAGTCCTTTTTATTTTTTATTTTGAGACAGAGTCTTGCTAAGTTGCTGAAGCTGGCCTTGAATTTATGATCCTCCTGCCTCAGCCTCCCAAGTCATTGGGATTACACATGTGTGCCACAGCACCTGACTCTTCTTTCTTTTTTTTAAATATATATATATATATTTTTAGTTGTCAATGGACCTTTATTTTATTTATTTATATGTGGTGCTGAGAATTAAACCCAGTGTGTCACACATACTAGGCTCTGCCATTGAGCCACAACCCCAGTTCCTTTTTCTTTTTTGAACATGATTTTGTTCTTTCTTTTCTTTTAGTGCTGGGGATTGAACACATGGCCTTGTGCATGCTAGGGAAATGGTCTACCATTGAGCTCTACTCTGTCCCTATTTCATTAATTTTATCTATCTGTACCAACTCTAGATTCTGATAGAGCTTGAGCCTACTTTAGGAAGGAGACAATAGAAGTGGGCTGGGGTTAGAAATAGAGAGGGGCAAGGTCACATTCAATCTAGTGTCTCCCCATGACATGGATAGTTATTGTCAGCCTGTTTATACTTTAGGCTGGTTCACCTGAAAGGACCCAATTGGTTTCCTAGCTTTTCTTTCCCTGCTGTTTAGTTGAATAGTAAGGAGCAAGAATTAGCCAAATTCTTACCTAAGCAGAGGTAAGAACTCTTTTGTTGAGTTCAGATAGTATCCTGCATCCATAATTGTAATGTTGGGAACTGAATTGACTACCTTAACCAACTACTTTTGTTTCCTTTGGCAGGAAGGCAGCAACAACTCATCTTCGTTGGATTTTGTTAAAGCCAGCAAGACAGACTCCTCTCCCTCAAAGTGGCTAGAAACATGTCAGCATGCATCAGATGAACAACCCCTAGATCTGACTCTCCAAACCATTTCTACTCCCAAAACATCTGAGGAAGCAGTAGACCCAATGAATGACTATGTGGTTAAATCCATGGTCCTTGAAGCCTCTCCAGTGGGGCAGCAGCAAGGTATTACACTTGAGGATCATTCAGATACCATGGCAGAGACAAACAGCAGCTATCTAAATGAGTCTTTGAAGCTAAGAGATCTGATAAAGGAGGCAGCATCCTGCATGGAAGACACCTTTTCTGAAGTTGTTGCTGTTATGCTTGAGAAACCTACATTGCAGGATTCTCCATCTCCTCTCTTGCAATATCCACCAAATCCTTGTTCTGAGCAACAGCTACACTGCTCTAAGGAAAGCCTGAGGAACAATAGAACTGAAGCTGTTTCTGAGGACTTGGTGTCTTCTGAAAGTAATGTCTTCTTGCCTTCCTCCACATTCAGGCTTTCCCCTTCAACTGCACTGGCAGCAGATTACCCCAACAATCACGTGTATGCAGGAGAGGAAAGTGTAGAGCATAGAGGTATAAAGGAAAGAGAAATGAGCTTTTCCATACTCCCTGAGGAGGTTGAATTGGAAGATCAAGCACTTGTCTCAAATGTAGAAGATGTTCCATCCATGTGCCTAACACCAAATCTGATGGAAATGGAGTCCCAGGCAGCTCCAGGCCCAGCAGTAGGAGATGCTGGTGAGATTCTTAGTTCTGATACAGAGACTTGGATGTCCCCGATGGCTTGGCTAGAAAGAGGTGTAAATACCTCAGTCATGTTAGAAAATCTCCGACAAAGCTTATCACTTCCCTCTGTGCTTCAGGATGCTGCCATTGGCACTACGCCTTTCTCTACTTGCTCAGTGGGGACTTGGTTTAGTCCTCCAGCACAAGGAAACAGTATAAACACATCCCAGACAGGCTTGCTGGACACCAAGGATAGTACTTTGGAGACAAAGCCCCTCCTGTTGGGGTAAGTGTCCCCTCTATCCTTGTGCCTCTGGAGCTCCATTCCCCTCTACCTGCCTCTCACACCCCTTCCCTCCCTTTATTTTCCTCATGTTCTTTTCTTCCTACTGCAGCTGTAATCCTCCAGATCTGACTGCCTTGTCTAGACGTGACCTGGAAGATAACCTGCTGAGCTCTCTTATCATCCTGGAGGTTCTTTCTAGACAGCTGCAGGACTGGAAGAGCCAGATGGCTGTCCCTCATCCAGAAACTCAGGACAGTAGCACACAGACTGATGCCTCTCTTAGTGGGGTAAGAAGCTTTCTCCTAAAGCTTGAAATGTTCTAGTGGGCCCTCTTCCTCAGAATTTAAGCTGATAAGCTGCCAGAGGGCAAAGGGGACTTCTTAATCACATGCTTATTCTAGTATATATGTAAAAGCTGAAAATCTAGAAAAATCTTATCAATCAAAGCTGTGGGTACTCAATGTACCCCGAGGTACATCAAGACTTTGCAAGGGAATGCAAACAAGGAAAGTTTGAAAGAAATCAATTTCTAGATCTTCATGGTCCAAAAGTATTCTTTTTTTTAATATTTATTTTTTAGCTATAGGTGACACATATCTTTATTTTATTTTTATGTGGTACTGAGGATTGAACTCAGGGCCTCATGCGTGCTAGGCAAGCGCTCTACCACTGAGCCACAATCCCAGCCCCTCCAAAAGTATTCTTAACTAATTTTTTTCTTCTCTACTTCCCCATTCTCACTGGCCCTTGTCCACTTTACTAAAGAAAAGCATACTTCTCATCCCAGGTCTCTCATAGCAATCAAAGGACAACAGAAAATATTTGTGCACACGTTGAGAAAGCAAATGACTACAGTGATTATATAGTATCATTTCTGCATGTTTTCAACAAAAGTGAAGAAAAACTTTGTTAGTAGATCTTAAATATTTTTGAGGAAAGTTACTAAGAGTTTTGGCAAGTATTTCCAAACAAATTCAAGTCCTTCAATTTCTACTGATTCTGATTAATTATGTATGGATTCCTTAGTGCTGATATCTATTAAAATGGAAAATAGTCATGAATTTTTGCTGAACCATGTTTTTTTTCTTGGGTATGAGGGATTGAACTCAGAGGCACTCAACCACTGAGCCACATCCCCAGCCCTCAGGGTTTCACTGAGTTGCTTAGTGCCTTCCTTTTGCCGAGACTAGCTTTGAACTCCTGATGCTCCTGTCTCAGCCTCCTGAGGCGCTAGGATTACAGACCTGTGCCACTGTGCCCACCTTGGTCAAAGGGATTTAAAACACATTTTATTTATTTAATTTTATTTTTTAGAGAGAGAGAGAGAGAGAATTTTTTAATATTTATTTTTTAGTTATCGGCGGACATAACATCTTTGTTTGTATGTGGTGCTGAGGATCGAACCCGGGCCGCACGCATGCCAGGCAAGCGCGCTACTGCTTGAGCCACATCCCCAGCCAATAAAACACATTTTAATTTCAATTTATATGAACTTTATTTTGAGGGGGAAGATACTGGGGATTGAACCAGAGGCTCTTTACCTATATCACCAGTCTTATGCTTCATTTATTTATTTGTTTGTTTGTTTATTTATTTATTTTGAGATGGTCTCACTAAGTTGCTAAACTGGAATCTGTGATCCTCCCGCCTAGCCTCTTGAGTTGCTGGGATTACAGGTGTGTGCCACCAGGCCTGGTTGGATGAACTTATTGTTGCAGAAATACTGACTATTAACAGATTTGCAAGTATAAAAATATATTAGAATTAAGGTATTTGTGTCTGGTGCTAGTGATCAAACCCACAGTTCAAGGAGAAAAGGGGGATGATATAAAATTTCTGACTGTAAAAAGAAGTTTTTCTTGTATTTTATTTGATTTGGGGTTGTTTAGCTTTTTTTTTTTTTTTTTTTTAAAATGGCACAAAAAAGGAAATGTCAGTGACTTAGCTAACTGGCACTTATAAGAATCAGTAAACCACCATGCGGTGTTGGTCTCGGCATTTTTTTTTTTTTTTTTGGTACCAGGGATTGAACCCACGGGCATTTAAACTCTGAGCTATATCCCCAGCTCTTTCCTAAGTTTTTAAATTTTGAGACAGGGTCTCACTAAGTTGCTTAAGTCCCCTCTAAGTTGCTGAGGCTGGTTTAGCACTTGTAATCGTCCTGCCTCAGCAGGATTACAAGTGTGCTCCATCAAGCCTGGCTTTTTTCATGTATTTTAAAGTTATCGAAGTATTACAATATATGTAGCATTATGCCATTGGGTATATTTGAGTGATCTAACAATTTTATTTCAACTGTCTGGATTGATAATAGGCTGTTATCAATTTCTACTCAAGGATAC